CTCTCACAAATGGCTTCGGGCAAAAAAGACTTTTTAATCAAAAACAAAAATCGGCAACAAGGACATAGAGAAATTTATGAGGTCTGCTGATTAGTTTCATAGTTCAGTTGGGAGAGCGGTTAGCCCCGGTCTGGAAAACACGTTTTCGAATTGAAAACATTCGAATCCAACCTGATCGAAAGAGTTTTTCTTTGTGTTTGTGTAATCTTTATATCAATAATTATCGGACAACATATTTTTCAAAGTCCAATGATATTGGTACGCTTGCAAATTATTGTTATTTAATTAGGTTAGTAACTTTCACTCGTATCCCAATACTTCCATAAGTCTATTTGATCAGGAGTCTATTGAAAGACTTCATAATGAGCAGGTTATGTATCCATAATATTAACCTTAGAGCTAAGTCCAAACTCATGGTACCACGATTTCGTTTAACCAAGGTAAACAACTCTTTTACGGGGAACTGTATACGTTTTTACAATAAGATTCCGGAGCATATATTCAGTTTATAAATTCCTAAGTTTAAAAACTACATTAAAAATATTTTGATCGAAAAATCATATTACAAAGTTGAAGACTACGTGTTAGATAAAGATGTATGGAAAAACGACATGGCTCCAGAATCCACACAAATTTGATTCAAAGTGTATTCCATAGCATTTAAGTTTATTTGAAGAGAGCAATCCCTAGAGTTTCTTGCTCGTTCTTCTCAGGGAGGTCAGCGTAGTGAACGAGCAGTAGCTTAACTGTGACGTTTTCAAGTGTAAATTTTTTTTACCTATGGAATAAATAATCTTTGACTTTGACTCAGGTAGGTCTCGTGAAATGGTGTTGATGCTGCCCCATAGAGTACTGAGCAATGAGGCTGTTTCTCTATTCAAACTTATTCATGGTATGATAGCTGCACCTGACATCATTCAACGTTACGTGTCTCCGTCTCCCGTCAGTTGCCTGCTAAATCTTAAAACATTTTCGCTCCCTATTTGTAGAACTAACTTCGGTCAACACTGTCCACTGTATCGCATGTGTTCTTCGTACAATGGTGTCCGTTTTGATTTCGATATTTTCTCTGGTTCTGTAGTCTCATCTAGGAACTCAATTAGAAAGTGTCTATTATGTTAACTATACGACAGACTTTGTTGGGTCACTTATTTAATATTTTGATACTTATACACTTATTTTGGTCTGCTGTGCATGTTGTGTTCACATCAAATAGAATACATTCTTATCGCGTCACTATATAAATGAAATACTTGTAGTTTATGTCTGAATTGTATCCAGTTTTGTGAACCGAATAATTAAAAATAAAAAAATTAATACAAAGATCCGGCTAGATTCGAACCAACATCTTCCAGCAAACCGCGCTATACCTACTAAGCCACGGAAACGAAACTAGCGGACCTTACTTTTTTTTGGTTCTATGTGTTTGCCGCCATTCTGTGAGAAATCTACGAAAGCATTCGTAGATATCTCACACATTCAATAAAACTTAAAAATCACAATACTTATAATGTCTATACTTTTATGACTTGACACATCTACTCATTACTGATCTGTGTAGAGCCCGCAAGCAAACGCACAGTGCTCTTGCGACGTTTTTTTAATTTTAATCTATTTTGTTTGAGGCATTAGCCACCTTGCGTGACTATGTCAGTCTCATGGGAGGAATACTGGGACACCTACCTCCTACTCAAGGTACATGTTCTAAAACTTGTACAAATTTAGAGCGCGAATACATAATACAGACGCTCTGAGCCAACAATTAATTTGTCCATTGCATAAACTTACATTCTCAAACATTGTATCTCTCAGGGTTACGTAACGGTTGCATTCCACCAATACATGATATGATATGATACAGATCCTCTATTTTATTGCAAGCACTGCAGAATGGGGATGGTTTAAAATCCATCATATGAAAGAATTTATTACTTGGAATGTGACCAGAATGCAGTCTAAAAGCTGATACCAGATATTTCCTTGCTATATTGACAGAATCAAGCCAGGGTACCACTGTGGGTTACTCTGAGTGGTTCTGTACCATATTCCAAAGCCTTTATCCACTACGCATATCAGCAGCTATCTCCTTGTCAAAGAGTTTGTCCAGGAAAATACTGCCACCTTACCTATTGCTGCAGCCAAGAAATAAACGTTCACATAAATGAATTCCAATTTGAAGGGTGCTGGTGAATTTACAGGACTTATCAACTTATGTCTCAGAGCGACGGGCGCAGTGGTAGTGCCTCTCACATCTTTGTGATTTATAGCTCTAAATAGCACTACAACTGTTATGGACAGGCGTGTCGCTTACCATCGAGCGTACGACTAGATTCGTAAAAAAATAGTTATAGATAATAGACTGTTACATAATGAAAGGTTTTAAAATACGAGTGTGGGTTTATGAATCGAGCCGACAGGCGAGTTTCATAAAAATATCACACGGTCGTTTTAATGTCTAATTATGTAGTTACATACACTGCTTTATCTATACACATATTATAAGCACTCTGTGATGTGTTCAGGAACCGCATGGTACGACTGGCGAAATGGCGGCAAATAAAAACTTTTCTCACGCATGTCACACAACCGTAGTTTTTATTTCATTCTTGACAAACTAGAGTCGGCCCCAACTATTATATCGTTCGATATCAACTATCATGTGAAATTTGTAAAATTGTTTGCAATTGGCATTTAATTTCGAATAAAACTTCATGTCGACTGATATTAGAATTGAGGTCGAATCAAATTGTTTTGTTTTTCAGAGATGTTCGAAATTTGAATGTAATAATAACATGGAATTCGATGTTATTAATATGCTTAATAATAACATTTTCACAGATAAGAAATTTGTTCTAACAAAACAGTTTATCTTTATGCTGATCGTAATTTCCAGTTTTTGAACACATCATAGCAGGTTTATGACATGTGTTTAGATAAAAGTGTTATTTCTATTTGTCTATTATATCGAGCAAATCTGCGTGCCAGCACGTTACTTCTAATCGCACATGCCCTATACGTTCCCTTTCTACATTCGTTTGACCATCACCGTTTCTAAAATCTTTACATTAATTTTTCTCCTGTATCACAACCACAGTGCCATAACCTTAATGCTCATCTACAGAGTGGAAGCCTGATGACCTGTACAATACAGGTTTTTCTATACCTACCTCGGGCACCAGTCTCTCACAAAACAGCATGCCCAATCTTGTTTTAACCTATAAGTTCTTTTACTCTTAAGCCTGTTTGTGCCGAGAAAATAAAGCAAAATTTCAAATCATTTCTTTCGAGTGGCCTTAAAGACCATGTCGCTGCCGTTCGTGCTATTCACACCAGCGTACGTTTCACAGAAGATCAAAAATCTCCTGAGAGCTCAGAGCGAAGGGCACATTAACACCATATCTCATACCGCAGCCACTGACTTTGACATTATCACATTACATTCATCCAGTACATTAATAGCAGTAGAGTTCCTTGTGAAAGAGTTCGTCCAGGGAAGTAATGCCACCTTCCCTATTTCTGCCGCCAAGCAGTAATGTAAGCATTATTGTGTTCCGGTTTTGAAGGACAAGGGTGCTGGTGAAATTACAGGCACGTGGGATTTGTCATCTTATGTCCCAAGATGACGGGCGCAGTGGCCCTCAGATCTTTGCGATTTGAAACTCTGAATGGCACTGCAACTGTTATGGACAGGCGTGTAGCTTACCATCAGGTGCACGACTTGTTCGTCCCTTCTTTGGATATTATATATATGTATATAAAAAACATAGTATAGTGTCTACGCCGAGGTGCGCGCCGAAGCGTAGTTGTATGCGCCAGACCCGGTATCGCGAGGACCACCCATCTTTCGTTTCCTTGAGTGTAGATGGCGCATCTCACCACCGACCCTGTTTTGCCAAAATATGATCTTTTCTATGACCAAATATGGTAATAAACAAACGACTTCCGCTAATTTCCATTTTAAGCGCAATTATCAACCCTCAGCTCCTCGCGCCCCAATTAGTATTCGAGAGACCGCCATTAACGTTCTGTTCGAGATAGATAATTTTCGTGCACGTCTTTTGTCCTATTATTAACCGACTTCAAAAAAAGGAGGAGGTTCTGAATTTGACTGTATGTTATTTTTGTATGTATATTACTTGATAATTTTGTGAATCAATTTCGATGATTCATTTTTTGTTGGAAAGAACTTTTGAGATCGGTTTTTTAGTACCTGTTTAAAGTATTACTTACCTTTACGTTATAGTTTCTGTGAATGTCACTACGCCCATTTTTAATGTCCACAGTGATTAGAGCACTGATTTATTTTATTCTTCTTCTTGTCGTATCGATGCGAGATTTGCAGCCTAGAAATATAGCACATGTTTGCCATCGTGGTGAAAGGATTTGGCAGTACGGTTCTTGCTGATTCTTACCCAGGGTACGCCTGACGTACAGGGAATATGAATAGTATGTCTTAGAACGATTACACATGGCGACTCTTAGCAGCGATGAAAACGCGATGCATTAGCCATGCAGTAGCTAGCCTTTACACACGCGCGCGTTTGCATCGATGCAATCCCCTGTAAATCGCAAGTGGAGCGATGGAATCGCGCGTCATTTGCGACTTTATTAACGTTATCAACGACAGACTGTTGTGACAATGGGAAGTGCTAGAACGACAGTCGTCTGACGATAAATAACACGTCACGATAAAAATGTGACAACAGATAACCGCAGCTTCAAACGATTTTGTCATGCAAACGACAAGCTGCCGTGAATCGACAAATTGTCGTAACAATCTATTGGGAACGCTGAACACGATAGTCGTTCAACAATGAAACAAACGTCCACGACATAGTCAAGACAAATAGTCGTGATATGGGAACAAGCTAGACGCGACAGTCGTCAGACTTATTGTGAAGCTCCTTGCGTGCAACCCGCATTTATTTTATTTAGTCTGGTTTAAATATGAAGTACAGTTATGAGTGATGGTAATTTAAAATATGTTATTATTGTTCCAGGGCGATGTGGCGAGGGTAGTCCATGCGAACAGCTTTGTCGTGAGCTGCACGACGGCACATACGAGTGCGGTTGCAGTTCGGGCTTCGTGCTGCACGTCAACGGTTATGGCTGCCAAGGTTGGTAATATTGCGATAGAGAGTTATTCACCGTTTAACAAGTCCGAGGGGCAAATGAGGAAACTCCGTTGATAAAAAATCATTATTTCAGAATCTTAAAATGTTTATGCAGGTATGTTTCATTTTCACCTCACTAGCTCGGAAAGGCTTTCTTTCTCATTTGAAATCTGCGCGCAAAAGCGTTTTTGCACGCTAGGGTGCAAAAGGTTTTTGAAATTCGATCTTGACGATGGACTGTGGTGTGGTTTATTCGGTAAGATTTATACTGCAAAAAAACGTGCAGTACAGTACAATGCCGTATGAGCGGGGTGTAACACGACTGGAAGCTACTTACACGAGAGCGATATAGAAGCGTACATCTATGCGAAAATAGCAGTATCTTGCACTTCATGTCGCTAACGCGCAAGTCGTGCCCTGTTATACTAGACCTATAGGAGATAGGTTAATTTAACTGATAGGCCACCGTATAATACCTCCCGCGTAAATTGTTGTATGTCAAATACAATTTTTTTGCTTTTTAACTTAAATATATCATTTTTATGTATAATAGAGGCTTCATGTTTAAACGTAAGAAAATCACTTAATGTTATGTTTACTTTCAAACATAGAACCTATAATATGCATACAAAAAGGATATGTTTAAGTTAAAAAGCAAAAAATGTTATTTTAACTTGTAATAACTTACGCACTAGGTGTTGCATAATGTATTTATTAATTTTCTTTACATAAAAGATATCGCACAAGAATATATTTGGCATAATTCGTACTGAAAAATAAATCGAGCGAAAAAATATACTATGTTTTTGATAAAGCAAAATTATTTATTAAAACATAAAAATTGAGAATTGAAAATGTTACACAAACTTACGTAATAATATTTAAAACAATAAAACAATATTATAAAGTAAATTATCGGGTTTTATAATACTTGTTTCGATTTAGACTTACGAAGTCACATCAGTAGGGCTGGCACGATAGCGCACGACTTACACGAGAGCGATATAAAGTGCGAGATAATGCTATTACCTATGCGAGAACAACAGTTTGTCGCGCTTTATATCGCTCTCGTGCCAGTCGCACCCTATCGTGGTCACCGGTGGGCGCGACTAGCGCGAGAGCGACGTAAGGCTGCCTTTCCACCAGAGATGTGCGAGGTAAGGAGGCGGTGCGAGGATGTGTAGCGGCGCTGTGAAACGGTGTGATGTTTTCCACCTAAGCTATGCGAGGTAGCTAGGTGGTTAGAGGATATGCAGCGGCGCTTTTCAGTTCTGCGCGGGCGGGGTACGGTGTGGTGGGGTGAGCGGTGGCGACGTGTCAGTGTCAGTTAGTGTCTTACTTTCAGTACCTCTAGTTTCCTACACCGATTTGCACATTCCCCCCCTTCATCTCTCACATACGTCTCTCGCCATTTTGTGTGTACAAATACTTAGCTCCGCTAACTCTTTTCCACCGGAGCTGCGCTAAGCGAGGCTAGGGAATTAAAGTAATCCTATTGGTAGATTTTTTCCTCGCACACCTCCTCACCACGTCGCACATCTCTAGTGGAAAAGCAGCCTAAAGCGCGAGGTAATGCCATTCTCGCAAGGGGATCTCATGATTTATGTCACTCACGCGCAAGTCACGTCTTGTTTTGCTAGATCTACTTCTTTGACATTAAATCTAAGCGTTCTATACCTTCTTTTTAACCGACTTCAAGAAAAGGAGGGAGTTTTCAATTCGACTGTATGTTTTTTTTGTATGTATGTTACACGATAACTCCGGTATTCGTGAATCGATTTTCATGATTCTTTTTTTGTTGGAAAGATGGTACCTCCATAGTGGTCTCATTTCATTTTTAAGAAAATCATCTACCTCTAAAGGTGGCTGATCACGCATGAACATTCATTTTTCAGAACAAATTTTACTTAAGGAGCAATTATTTTAATGGTTGGTTTTGCTATTCTCCAATTCAAGGCGTTTTTCTCTCTCAATATACTTAATTTATCCTTAGGGGAAATAGTGTGCACGCACGAGAAATATTTACAATCCAGAAAAGATGCATCCGTATTCTTGATAATTTGAGTAGTACTGATAGCTGCAGACCGCACTTTAAACAATTCAAAATTTAGACTTTGTGTTCAATATATATTTTAGACATTTGTAAATTTATTAAACAACACCCTGACTTTTATACTAACATTGACGACCTGCCCCGACGATACACTTTTAGACCTCGCAATAGATTGCTTCTGCCACGATCTCAGTTACACATACTCAGCTCAAGTCCCCACTCAATGTCGGTGAGGATATTCAACGAGCTCCCGCCCATTATTAAAAACGAGGATAAGTATTCACTGTTTGTAAATAAAATAAAATTACATTTTATTAATAAATGCTATTACGATTTAAATGAATACTTTGATGACAAATAAAAATAATAATATTATAATAAATTTGAATTAAAAAAAAAAATCAAAAAATTCAAAAATTATTTATTGTTCTTTCCACCAACAATACAAATTACAGGGTATTTAAAGTAAAGAACATCATACAGTGAAATTGTTAGGTGGAAGACTGGTGCCTAAACTAGGTTGGACCTTTACTATAGGTCACCAGGAATAATAAAGAAATGGTAATTATATACTACAAAGTTATACTATTGTAATCTAATTAAATTCAAACTTTCGAGTGACATAATTCTGCTTATAATATGACGTATTTCTTTCTTATTACATGACATATATATATATATTTAATATGATTATTTGATAAATAACAATTCTATTTAAGAATTGAAACCTTGGCCTACCTCTGCTCTTAGTGTTATCCCTAATAAAGGGCTCATAATGTGTAGCATTATTGTAATTTTAAGACATGTATGTACCATATGAATGCAATAAATATATTGAGTAGTGAGAACCGATTTTTATTATCTCCTGTGTCAAGTCCTGTATAGTGGCGAACTAGGGGATATTTCAATAAAACTTAGCTAATAGATGTAATTCCACGTACGTTTGAGGTTGGTTTTTTTTAATACTCTGTACCGAGATTATAAAAAACGAAAACCACAGTTCTCTGTTTGATTTTAACAAACAGAAAAACAATGTAAATATAATGTTCTGCACTGTGAAAACTATAGAATCAATTGCAAATATTTTTGTGACTGTTAAATTGTTGTATTCGAGAAATAACATAATAGTCACAATTATCCACTGAGTGCCACAAATGAAAAAAGTTAAAGTAGCTACTTTAATTTTTCTA